TTTGGTCATCCTGGAGCAGCTGCTCCTCCACCCGGATGCACCGGCCTCCATGGACTGGAGGAGCAGTTGCTCCGGGATGACCAAAGGGCCAGTCCTGGGACTCCTGCAGCTCTGGAATATGGGACCGACTTTCCCACCAATGTCACCAAGCCAACCCCGGGGTGGATTTCCCTCTCCTGCAGTTGGTCTTACCTTCTAGTTCCAGCTTGTGTGGCTCTGCTCAAGGTAAGGTTTGCGCTCGGCCAAAGGTAGAGGCCGGTGGGTGGGCAGGCCATGTGGGCAGTGCAGCCTTGTATTCCTGCACAGCCTGGATTAATTGCTTTGGGGGGTGCTTTGGGGGGGACATTTCTCTGCGGACCACCAAATTTTTCTCACAGACCACCAGTTGGCAACCACTGCCCTGCACCATTTCTAACAAATGACAGTCCAATCTCTTCTTGAAGGCCTCCAGTGATGAAACTTGTTCTATTGGTTGATTGTTCTGTCAGAAAATGTCTCCTTATTTCTAGGTTGAATCTTTTGATTAGTTTTCATCCATTATTCCTTGTCTGGCCTTCAAGTGCCTTGGAAAATAGCTTGACCCCTTTCTGTCTGTGACAGCCCCTCAAATATTGGAAGACTGCTATCATGTCTCCCCTGTCCTTTTCTGCACTAGACTAGCCAAGCCCAGTTCCTGTTAACTGTTCTTCATATGTGTTGGTCTCTAGTCCCCTAATAATCCTGGTTGTTCTTCTCTACTTTTTCTAGAATCTGAACATCTTTTTAATAGTATGGTGACCAAAACTGGATGCAGTTTTGTGGCCTTAATAAGGCTTTATAGAATAGTATTAGTATCTTACTTGATCCCTCTGATTGCATTGGCTTTTTTGGCGGCGGCTGCACATTGCTGGCTCATATTTAGCTGGTTGATCACTAAGACTCCAAGATTGCTCTCAGAGTTACTGCTATTAGGCCTGGTTTCAGCCAAGCTTCAAAAGAATCCAGATTTATTAGGAGCTTTTCAACAAAAATCTCCGAAGTGCTTATTTTCACAGCCTAAACAATTATGTTTTAAGAGTCTCTTATCACAGATTTTTTATTCCTTGGGGTTAATTTTTAAGTAAAAGAAGAATCATCTCACCCATCAACAATCTCTATTCACTGCTCTCTTTGCTCCTGTATTTTCTTAAGTGTTCTAAAATGTCCCCTGGCTTGATGGCAGCCATGTTGACCGACTGCCACTGCTCCTCGTCTTTGGATGAGGGGGATTTTCCAAGTCAAAGAGGAGAGATGTAGCTCTTCTCAGCTGCAACATGCCCCCCTTTACTTCACCACCCCTACAGGGTGGCTATGGCTTGTTTCGGAGCCCTCCAACAGGGAGAGCTTGGAACGGGGCTGCAGAGCTCGCGGTCCTTGCCTCCAACGCCACTGGAAGCAGTGCTGGAAGCCTGCCTTGCAAATATTTAAGAACCCTATTTATCTGCAGTATATGAGTTTCCAGATCTGAATGTATAACAGAAGGCACTGCATGGGACAATGCCACAATAGACAAGTACCATGTCCAGAATACCACATAAGATCAGGTCAGCCAAGAATAAGGACTTGAGTGCTCTGGACTCTCTGATGGGGATTCTTCAGACAAAGAAGATGGTCAACCAATCTCTTGTGAACCAGGCGTATCTGATCCTGGTCTAAGACTTGGACCAGAACCATTCCCTGCTAATCTAGGATCGTTCGCTCATGATTCAGGTCCAATCTCATCTATAGAGCCATTAGATCAAATAGAGATAGTCCTTGCCTTACGATGGGTCACTTGCCAACCGTTTGAAGTTACGACAGGCTCTGCAAAAGGTACTTTCAAAAGTAATTTCAAAGTTAAGACCACTGCAGTGCCTCTGCCATTGTTTACCCCATTACTGACCACAGGGATGCTGCAGCACCTCCCACACATACTATCTCCTCCCATCCCACCAGGTCTCAGCCTATTCAGAATCATCCAGACAAGGGAATCGAAAGAAGCTATTATCACACAGAAGGCAATTATAGTTTGTAGGCTACTTCCCATCCAACCACCCAAGAGACTTGCAGGACTTAAGAAAATCCCCTTGAGTTAGGGAAATCCTTTATCTACATAAAATCATTCCCCTTCCCAGAACCCTCACCCCAAATTGCAAGACTTCAAGTACTCAAAAGATTAAGAGTTAAACATGCCCCACTGGGTGCACTCTTTCTACTGTAAAGTCTCAACATCTTTTTGTGTCATGGTGACCAGAACTGGATGCAGTATTCTAATTGAGATCACACCAGGGCAGTATCTCTATCTCAAATATCTATTAAAAATGTTTCATTCAAAGTCTGTTGGAAGAGTTTGGGGCAAAAACACATTTTGTTGTACATTTTCCAAATTTGGCCTTGAAATCCAGAAGGGAGCAGGGAGTTTTCTGTACCTCAGAGCTACCCTCCAATAGTAATCATGGTCTCTGCCGTTAGATTTAGCAAACCTACTTCTGGTATATCTGTTGGTACACAAATCTTACATGCCTTCTACAGTGTCAGATTCCAGAACGGATGTAAAAGATTTTTTTTCAGGAGGATGGCCTTTGAGTGGTGCACCTGAGACAGTTCTCCAAAACATAGGAGGTGTCAGGAGGGAAAAAAAACAGCAACCTGGATTTAAATTCATGTTATTCACATTTGAAATATTTCAGTGGTGTCAGTACAGGTAGACCTTGACTTCATACAACAGTTGAGCCAGTGGTGGGATTCAAATTTTTTTACTACCAGTTGGTGGGCATGGCAGGGGGAGGATACTGCAAAAGCCCAATTCCTTCCCCACCCCACTAACCTGCTTTCCAGCTCCATTCTCCTTTGCAGGGCAACCAAAGAAGACCCAACCGATCGGCTGGGACTCAATGGGAGGCAGAGAATAGATGGGGCAGGGCCAGTCAGAGGCGGCATTTGCCAGTTTTCCAAACTACTCAAAATTTCCACTACCGGTTCTCCAGAACTGGTCAGAACCGGCTGAATCCCACCTCTGAATTGAGCCCAAAGTGTATGTTGCTAAATGAAACATTTGTTGTGAGTTTTGCCCCAATTTATGACTTTTCTTGCCATTGTTGTTAGGTGAAAGTTAGTAGCACAGTTGTTTAAATAAATCCATTGACTTTGCTGGTCAGAAGTTTGCAAAAAGTGATCATGTGACCCTGGGGCACTGCAACCATCATAAATATGAACCAGTGCTAAGTGTCTGAATGTTGATCACAGGGCCATGGGGATGCTACAATGGTTGCAAGTGTGAAAAACAGTCATATATCACTTTTTTCAGGGCCGTTGTTCCTTTGAATGGTGACTAAATGAACTTTTGTAAGTCGAGGACTACCTGCATTATGATTACTCCAGAAACCTGAAAATAAATCGACCCTCAAAGAATTCTTAAGACTTCTGGCTTAGAAAAACAGGCCTGGAGCATTTTTTCAAGGAGATGCCAAGATGGCCCACAACACCTTCCGTTGAAAGAAATGGGGAGGCTGGCTGAGGAATTCTGGGAGTTGAAGTCCACAAGTCATAAAGTTGGTCAAGGTTGGAGACTCCTGGACTAGACCAATGTTTCTCAGTCTTGGCAACTGTGTGGACTGCAACTCCCAGCATGCTGTCTGGAGAATTCTGGGAACTGAGATCCACACACCCTAACGTAAGATTAAAGTACTCAAAGCCCCCTTAAAGCTCTGAGATTTTATTCAGGAAACAACTATTGCAACTTTTTCCTTACCTCAGCACAAATTTAAAAAAGATTTTAAAAAAACCCTCAAAACCCCATAATCTTGCAAAAGTAATAAAATCTTTATTTAAAAAAAACACTTTAGAGTGGTTTCTTAACATGGAAATAAATGCTAGGAACAGTTGTGTCTTCTGTTCAGACAATAACTTCAACCCCAATGCAATTCTCATTTTCCTCATGGAATCTGCCTCTTGCTCAACATACATATTTAAAAATCATCAGCATATGACATGAAATCATAAAACTATCCATCTCTTTTTGCCCTGGAAATTACCGAATGCCAATTTCCATTAACTTCATGGAATGTGCTCATTTTAAGTCTTGAGTTTACAATGGCCTTTGGTGAGCCAGTTGGTTAGCTGTTGTCATAACCATGGTAGGAGATGGACGCACTAGGAATCAGATAATTTACAGTTTCCAGCTCAGTGTTTTTCAATCTTGGTAACTTTACGTTGTGTGGAACTTTTAACTCCCTAGAATTCCCGGCTGGCTGGGGAAGTTGCAAAGATTGAGAAACACTGATCTAGATGAATTTTTAAACTCCAATCAATATGCAATTAACATGTAAATCTACCCCGTTCTCTTAGAACTATAAGGAATAAATATCCAAGCAGGTTAAGAAAGTAATGAAACCTCCTTCACCTGCATCTTATTCCACCCTATTTCTACCCTGTTTGGAGTTGTCCCCTTTCACATCTGTCACTGTCCCAAGCATCTCAAATTGATCCTATGTAGTATCCACCATCTTGCTGGACTGGAGGTGACTCTATTCCTGCTGGAATCTGAGACAAGGCAGAGATCATTTCCTGCTTCAGGAGACTAAATGGTTGAGCTTCCAGATTTTGAATGTTGGACTGCATCTGTGTCACATACTGGAGGAGACATAAAGTTTCCTCCACAGATGGGTTATGCTCCCCAATTGTGTTGGCATCAGGAATCTGGGCTGAAAGTTGACCCTGACATTCTTCAAAGGGTGTCACAGCTTCAGCATAAGGGACACCCGGTGAAAGTAAACTTTCGAAGGTGTTTATCTGGGCTCCATGTGGTAATGCCATATGTGTTTCATGTTGATCTGGATGTAAAACCCCAGAAGACAAAAGAGGCCCAAGCACGCTACAGAAATCTGATGGATGAAGAGCAATGCAAAACTGTCTCTCTTCCTCACTCTGACATGGCCGTGTTCCCAAAATTTCAGGAGTTAAATTGCCCAATTGTTCTCCAGTTGAAGCAGAATTTGCTGTTGAATGGACAGTATCACCCAAAGAAGTTTGGTTGACTTCATCTCTTGCGTCTTGGTGGCAAGAAGAGGAAGGCGCTCTACACAGTATGTCTCTTTTGAGCTGTTCTATGAGACTGAGAAGACTATCGACTGTCAGCTCCTCTTGCCTTGCCTGAAGGCTTGACAGACCTTCTCCAGAGGAAAGCCCCTCTGTGCACGGAGGCTGCGGGCTCTGTCCCTGACCAACATCTACCTGTAAATGTGAAGGGACAGTGAAACAGCTGTTTTCTGGGCTGACCTTAGCAGTGACTCTCTTTCTCTTGGCTTTAGGAGGAAGATCATGACTTGTCTTCAGAACGTCCAAATGAGTTCTTTTGGGCAAAATCAGCCCTAACAGCAAAGCTGGGTGGCATCGATCAAGACCTGTTGGAAGAAACAAAGCCATGGAATTAAAAGGACATTGCCCAAAGACACTTCACCAGAGTTTCAGCCATTTTTAAAAGAAGTGCTTTGTCTTCGCTGGTTGCCAATACTGAAAAGAATGAAGTTAGTGGGGCAGGAACTTGTGGTTCTCAAGCCAGACGGAAGCATAATGTCAACCTTAAGCATATCCTTCCTAATCACAATGCTGTGAAGAGAACAGCCAATTTTCTCTGTCTATTCTGCAATTTAGCCTACAATTTAAATCTGGACATATATGCATATATATATGTGGTAATGTAATGGTGAGCCTTTTGGGCTTGGCATGTCATTTGGAAAATGCCTAACTTGACTCTACTGGCATGTCATTCTCACGCACACATACATCCCGAACAAAAGAGAAGCAACTCTTTACACATTCATTCATAATTTAATGCACATTCATACAAAGTTGATAACACACAATTGCTGATAGTATGAACATTTTGCAGACTGTGGTTGCAGATATCCTCTACACTTTCTCCTCAGAAATGATCTTTCCTGTGCAAACAACCACCCCATGCAGCAGCTAGGGAACAACTTACCTATATAGCTGCCATGTTCCCGTTGCCTTTTACAAGCTGCACTCTCATCCTAAAGGTGCCTTTACAAGAGGCAACTGGACTTTCTGTTTTTTCTTTGAAGACATTTTGCTTCTCATCCAAGAAGCTTCTTAAGGTCTGAAAAAGCACCTCTGGGAGAACCATGATCTGGATGACTGAGAATCTCCATAGACATTAAGCTGCATTCTCTTTCATGTCACCATCAATCATGCCTTTGAAGGTGGCAAATCACATGCTGATATGGATGGGGAGAGTCCATTTTAAGCTTTGGGTGGTGCAGGGTCACACATACTTTTTGTATTTGTATTCATTCAGCTTCTTTAGTAATTCAAATGGGGAAAACAGTTGTTGTCGGATGTTGGTGGACACTGGCATGTCACGCAAAATGTCATGGTGTATAACTTTGGACACGCACGTCATAAGTTCACCATCACTGATATAGATACTGTATACAAACACAGATGATATAGATGAGATATAGAGATGGAGATATTTATTTATTTAGCATATAGCAGATTAAAGATATTAATTTTGGTAGACTGCCATAAGCAAAACTATGTGTATATGGTTTTCTTCCTGTCTCCACTGAAGCAATTAATCTAGGGGTGTTGTGTCCCCAAGTTCTGCTATAAGCAGTTTCCTGAATACAGACATTCTGTAAGAGTCTGAAGAGTCAGTGATTTACTGCTCTATGTAGGAGAAGCCTGTCAGATATAATAAATACATCCTAACAGTTTGCAAGTCGAACTTGACCAGGGTTAGGGTTGGGTGTGGGGAGGAAGGAAGGAAAAGCAAATTTTTGGGTAATCTTGGGATTTCAAAACAAGTCTTTAAACTTGTTGGCCCTTATTTATCCAAAGATTTAACTAACGTTATATAGATGCTGTACAATGCTTTACCTTACAGACGCCCTGAAGTACAATTCTTGGAATATTTTGCTTAGATCTGAAGCAAAACAGTGCAGTAAAGGAGACTAATCTGCTTTATTTAGAAAATGATGGGATGAATTGCTCTGACCAACTGGGTATGTGCTCCCCTGCCTTTTTCTCTTCATCCCTCACCCCGGATTTAAGTAAATAGCACACTTGGTAGCTGTGCGTATGGTTCTCTGGCAATTTGCAATGTGAAACGAAAGGACGAGGCCAATTTCAAATGTCGATGGAGAAATTTTAATATCCTGTTCCAGTTGCTGCAGGACAATCAAATGCCATGTTGTCTCCAAACAGGCTTGCAAAGGTCATCGTAACAAAGCCAGTGAAAATGACAGCATTGGCGGGGGGGGGCAGGAGGTGGGAGATGACAGCCGAGGAAAGCAAACATCCTGGAAGGCCCAATCATTAAAGATTCTGCAAGAGCGCAGAATAGTTTCAGCTCATGTGGAGGTTGGTTGTAATCGGCCCCACGCATTGCAGATTCAATTAAATTCAACAAAAGTTCCAACATTCCCATGTTTGCCCCTGGAGCATACAAAAGTATAGGACAGTGAATCATCCAAGAGGCCTGGAATGCATCACACCCAACAAAATCAAAATTGAGCCCCTTCGAAGTAACACAAAGTTGCGTCACCTTTTTCAGCTAAGTCCATCTTTGCCTTTAGAACTTCATGTGAAATATACATTTTACGTTATCTGTCTGCATGTATTCTCAGTGGTTCCCCTCGTTGGTCACATTAAACGTAACAAATTATTGGTAATTTTTAGAGGACATTTTATGATCTCAAAGCTGTAGGTTAGGCATCCTTGGCATAGATGGTATCTTCCTTGGTGCACATACCAGAGCTAATATTTCCGAGTCTTCTTCAGTATTGTCTCCTTTGCCAACTATCATTGCTTAAATGTGATCTTAATTTTGAATTGCTTTAACAAAGTGACATCACAGGGAGTTCCCTGACAACCTTGCTAATGGCAAAAGGTCTTGACACTATTTAATGCATCTTACCACAGAAATGTTCATATCTATACCATCAAGTGCAGGGTCTCCAACCTTGGCAACTTTAAGACTTGTGGACTTCAACTCCCAGAATTCCTCAGGCAGTCCATGCTGGCTGAGGAATTCTGAGAGTTGAAGTCCACAAGTCTTAAAGTTGCCAAGGTTGGAGACCCCTGATCCAGTGTGTTGTGTTCCCTCAGGTTTTCTCTTATCAGCTTTCCCGAATTCTGTTTCTTTTTCTTCAGATTGTGTTTGGACAGCAACACTCAGAACTGCCATCTACTTTGGTCAATTCCCAGGCTGATTACACTGATTGGGAATCCGAGTTCAATTTTTCTTCCACTTCAACTCTTCACTTGTCTTGTACTTTTCTTGACATATAATCAGAGAATTCTGTCAACTCCGTGTGAGATGGCAGTTTCTTTTGGTTATTCCTGCCCTGTCAGATATCAATAAACCTAGCAATTATCTGTGTGGTCCTTCATGCTCTGAGCTTGGTTGTTTTCTCGTAGGGGTTTTATGACCCAGCTAGGTAACATCATCAGTATTAGCAGCTTTCTGCCATTCTCCTTCTTCAGAACTTTTTTTTTCTTCATTTCTCTGATTTCACTTGAGCTTTCATACCTCAGCTACACAAGTTCAGGTACCAACCACTACATGGCAGCTAAAAGATACAGAAAAATCTCTTTCCTGTCATCTACTATGTTTCCCCAAAAATAAGGGCCAGACTTATATTTTGGGGGTCCCAAAAGATGCATTAGGGCTTATTTTCAGGGAAATATGTACAACGTGGGCAAGACGAGAGATGGTGGGACGGAATGACACACAATTTAGTGGAGGCAGGTGATTCTGACACACAGCGGCAGTGGTTGCAGGCAGAGGTGGGGGAAGGGGGATGGCAGGTGATTTCTGCCATTCCCTTTCTTCTTCAGACCATTTTTTTTTCATTTCTCTGATTTCACTTGAGCTCTCATACCTCAGCTACAAAAGTTCAGGCGCCACTAGATGGCAGCAAAAAGATGCAGTCCACTCTCTTTCCTGTCATCTAGTGCAATGGTAGGATTCAAATTTTGTCATTACCGGTTCTGTGGGCGTGGCTTGGTGGGTGTGGCAGGGGAAGGATACTGTAAAATTTCCAGTCAGAGGTGGTATTTGCCGGTTCTTCGAACTACTCAAAATTTCTGCTACCAGTTGAACACCACCTCTGAAGAAGGCAATAAAGATTAACACAATAAAGAAACAACACCAGAATGTTTCCTTCCTGCCTTCCTGACAGGAAAATGGAAAAAAACCAAAAGGAGATTTCTTCCAACAATCGGTTCTCCGCACTGCTTAGAAACAACCAGTTCTCCCGAATAGGTGTGAATTGGTTGAATCCCACCACTGATCTAGTTGCCATTCCAATGTCTGCAGTCCATAAATTTTAACTCTATAAAAACTGCTGAAAGAAAGAGAACTTCACTTGAAAGAGAATCCATAAGACAAAAGTTGTGTTAAATTATAATAGCCAAAGAAATAAAAACAAAAAACACATAAATTTTCCTTGACAGGAAGCTTATCTTACAAAGAATGCTTATCCTGGTTTTAAGCTGTCCAGCTTCCTAAGAACCAATAACTTAAAAGAGACCAGGTCTGGTTCCTACCTGGTCCACCTACAGGGTGAAATTGGGAAGGCACCAATTGGTAGGCTGGTAATGGCACCAGGAATATCTCCATCTGGCTGCTTTCCACAATGCCGTATCTCTGTTTGTTGTTCAGGTAGGTATACAATGTGTGGTAAGAACTGAAATCTCTGGATAAACTGGGGGAGAATCGTATCACCCCCATTTCCTAAATGAAAAAGTAAGAAAAAGGCCATTAGCCAATGGGGAATTGTTTGCAACATAAACATTTGTCTATATAATTTATGGGTTTTCTTACAAGAATTAAAGCAGAGACTGCCTAAACCACCAACACACTGCAGGAATGGGCAAATTCTTTGAGGTGTGTGTATGTGTGTGTGTTTATGTGGTGTGTGTTTGTGTGTGTTTGGAGATTTACTTTATGTTAAGTGTTATGTTGGCAAATTAAACCTAACCCAAGAAATAGCTAAAGAAGTAGAAACTGCAAAAGCTTTGACCTTGTGAGTGTAGAACTTACACCCAGGGGGTGTTCTAGATTTCAAGACAGCTAGTTTACTTCATAAGCTAAACAGGGAGGATTTCAAGAATGGAAATCCTGGAGGGAAAAATTCTTCAGGAGGCTTGGGAGAGTCTGAAAAAAAAAATTAATTATACCCCAAACACAAACAGTGCGAGAGAGAAAGAAAAATGAAAGACAGCTGACCATCATCATTTCAAAAGATGCTCTCTAATAAACCGAGAAACACAAAGGACAACTTTTAAAAATGGAACAAAAGGTTGTATAATGAAACTGGAATAGAGTCCAAACATGGAGCCATGAAGGCTAACGCTGAGAATGAATTGAGGCGAGTGATGAATGCAAAATAATAATAATAACAACAAAGTTTCTTTGAAGTATGTACAGAAAAAAGTCAAGGCAACAGGGAGTCTGCTGATTGGAGAAGATGGCAAGAATAGACTAGGAATTGAGACCCTATGAGTTCTAGTCTTTCCTTCGGCATGCAGGCTTCCTGGGTGACTTTGGGCCAGTCAGACACTCTCAGCCAAATCAGGGGATTCCAGCTATGGGGAGAAGGCTGGATTAGATGGACTCCCATGTCCTTCACATCCTATATTTAATGGAAGTGGAAGTTGGTTTGTTAGGATATGAGTAACCATCCCTAAACAAAGGAAGAATTTGGGAAGAAGGAAAATACCTCTCTCTTTGTTGGCCATATGCTGTCTATATAAGCCCAGACATCCTTGGGGAGAATAAATCCCTCTGACTGAAGAATTGTTGGTAAAGCCTACAAGAAAATAAAAGAGGCAAACTTTCAGTGTTGCAAAAAAAGAAAGCTCCATATTTGGATACACTTTTTATCAGCACTCCTTATGGCAAGGTGAAGAAGTCCCTGCAGATTTAATCTGTTTATCATTGCCAGCTACTGTATAGGGCAGTGGTCCCCAACCTTTTTTGTGCGCGGCCCGGTACCAGCATCAGCACGCATGACAAGGCAAGGCGAGCTGAGCGACCGGCCAGCCAGCCGTCCCCCGCTTCTCCCCGCACCTTCAACTTCTCCTTTGTACCTTTGTCGATGGGCTTCGCTTCAGGACAGCTTCAGGACGGTCACTCAGCTCGCCTTGCCTTGGGTGCTGAAAGAATCCTCGCGCCTTAGTTTCATTCGAAGCCCCCCCTTCGATGAAACTAAGGCGCAAGGATTCCTTCAGGACCCAAACGCCGCTTTCCAACCGGAAAAGCTCACCCAGAAGCACTTTCTCGTCAAACAAGATGGCAGCGCCCAGCAAACCGGCGGCCCAGTAGGAAATGTTCCACGGACCGGTACCGGTCTGCGGCCCGGTGGTTGGGGACCCCTGGTATAGGAGACAGTGTTCATCTTCATCTCAAGGCCATTGAGCTAGTGCTGTCCAAGGACATTTCTGTGGTCACGTGGCCAGCATGATGTCTCAGAGTGCTATACCTTCCCACCAAAGTGGTACTTATTTATTTACTTGCATTTCCATGCTTTTAAACTGCTTGGTTGGCAGGAGCTGGGATGAGAACAAGAACTCACCCCATCACATGATGCTCAGGTCTCAAACCTGGACTGCCGGCTTTCCAGCCAACAAGCCCAGCACCTTAACCATGTACTGAGCCACCACATCACCTGTTGCTTATAGACTATAGTAAGAAAACCAATAGGGCCAAAACCCCATAGCAAAAAGAACACAGATATGTTGGGGCTCTCTAATAAGCTCCCAATGGAAGCAGAACATTCCTGCCTCGAGCTTATAGAAGTCCATAAGAATATAAGAATAACTGTGGTCCATTTCTGTAATTGAAACCAGTCTGACTTCTCCTTCTTTTCTCCTTGCAGGAGTTCAGTGACCAAATAGTACACATTTTATTCTAAGCATGGATGCATTAGAGATGTATACGGGCAGTCCTCACTTAACAACCACAATTGAGTCCAGAATTCATGTCATAAGTAGTTGCAATCATTAGGTGGGTTATTATGTGACCTGACTCAATTTTACAACCATTTTTATGATAGTCATAAAGCAAATGCATTCTCCTGAGTGGGTGTAATGCTGAATTCCAAATTTCAAATGTTGAAAACCAGCAAAAAACACTGGAAACTGGCAAAAATTGCAGTCACATGACTGTAAGTTGCTGCAACCAGTGTTTCTTAGTCTGTATGATTTCATCTCATACAATTCCCCAGCCAGCATTCATTAAAAAAATATTTTTCAAATCACCTATTTGAGATGGGAGCCAAGAATGAATGAATGAATGAATGAATGAATGAATGAATGAATGAATGAATTTTACTGCAGTTTTTTTCCCCAAACATTATGTCTTGCAACATCATTTATAAAAGTGCATTGTAATGCACTATGTAATTATGTATTTAAAATTTACCCATGCTGTGTAATGTTCTAGTGACAGAAGTGGAATAATGGAGAAATTGCATACTCCTTCTACGGGGCACAGGAGTGGCTGTGCTGATATTATGTACGTCAGGACATCAGGAAATTGTCTACTGCTATCCCAATGAGGAATAGCACTAAAATTCTGGCCCTTTTGGTGGTGTTATGGGTGAGAAGAGGAATCAGAAGGTAATTTCCATTTCAACTTCAAAGATAGATGCCCAAAATCACATGGCCAAAATTGACCATTCTGTGGCCGAATTTTAGCAACAGGTCAGGTCTTAACGTGCTGAGAGGCTGAAAATGGGGGTGTCAGGTGTGCATCTCACAGGTAGCCCACAGCTGATTCAGTTACTCAAAGCTACCCTTACCAGTGGGTGCTCTTCTTGGTGCTCTCTGAACTTGACTGTTTTCTGCAGACATTTCATTGCTCAACTAGGTAACTTCTTCAGTGCTACGTGATTAACACTGGTGTCCTAGCACTGGTCGTGTTACTTATCATCTACAACATCTACAAGAAAACAACTACAAGAAAACAACGAAGCTCAGAGAGCACCAAGGACCACACAGTTCAACTCTGAGCTATAAATATTCTCTTCTTTAGATACTACCCCTACCTGACAGAGACGAGGACCAAAACCAGAAACAGGGTATGCTTTGGCTACAAACTGCTTCACACTGAATGTCTGGATAAGCCCATTCCAGATGACTGAGTAGCTGGACTGCTTTGCCTTCGGTCGATTTGCACTACTAGCAAAGGCAGACCTGAAGGAAGAGAAACAAATCTGCAGATCATGGTCTATACACCAGCTGCTTTGGGTCTTCCTATTTCATGTCTTAATTAATCCCTGTGAGTTTCCACTCAATTTTAATATGCTAATGTTTCTACATAATAAATTTCGAATAGAAATGACTACTGGAAGTCACAGCATGTTTAATGGGGGTTATCTGACATGGATCCAGTGAAAGAATCACTTTGGTTGTGAGATGGGCGGCATATAGATTTAATAATTGAGTAAAATTAAAACTTAATAAAGAAATGCACAACAGATGTACTTGAGGGATGGTTCCCAGAGCAAGCAAGCAAACAAGAGATGAAAGATGGGTTTAATATTTAACTGCCAACTGCTTAGCATTAACCCAAAGGATCTAACCAGTTTTTTCCTGTTTTTGCTGATGTCTTTCTTTGCCCAACAGAAATGCATTAGACTGCTTTGGCTAAAGGGCAAACACTGCCTTTATCTCCTATTCAAAGCCTGAAGATAAGAAATAGACATAATAAGCAGGGCCCCCATTTTCTCAGCTCAAATATTTTCTTTCAGAGAGAAGACAGACCAATTTGCATGGGATGGAAAAAGAAAATATTCTAGCCTCTTCAATCTCTGTTAAACATGCTTCTTGCTGACCAGAAAAGAAACTGAAAGGCAATCAGCCATAAATTAGGAGAATAAATTTGCAAAATGCAAAACGCAAGGTATACCTGCTGGAAACGCAAATAATTTAGAGATGACCATTCGATGAAAATAACAGTGCCGCAGTTTGCTCTGGCTTTACTGCATTTGACTTTCAGTATGTGCTCCTCTCCTGAATGTGACAGCGACTGGGAATTGCGGGGCAAGGAGAAGTTTTGTCATTACAAAACTCTGCCTGGTATCAGCTTTGATGGTGTCCAGCCATGTTCTTTGGCAGTCTGGTTTCCTTTTACCACTAACTCTTCCAAACCCACATAACATGGCCAAAGTAAGTGAGATCCAGTTTCATGATTTTGCCTTCTAGTGTCACTTCTGATGTTATACACTCCAGTACGTGCTTGTCAATCACCTGAAGTCAGGCTGGAATATTCACATAGCATTCTCTAAGACTTCTGGAAGCTTTTATTGAAAAGGTCGAGACACTCAGTGGTTCATGGAATGTGAATACATGATTTGAAAATAATAAATCCCACATCAGGGGGTGAGATTCTACCGGTTCAGACCGGTTCTATAGAACCGGTTGTTAAGATTCTGTGCAGTTCAGAGAACTGGCAAATCGTGCCCTGGCTGGCCCTGCCCCTCTCCGCCCATCCCTCCCCTCCCTGCCCAGTCAGTCCTTATCGCGCATGTCCAACATCGCGTGCATGCCTGACATCGCTGACGGCATTCTCCTCCGCCCAGTCATTCCTTAAGGTGGGGGTCTCCAACCTTGGCAACTTTAAGACTTGTGGACTTCAACTCCTAGAATTCCTCAGCCAGCAAAGCTGGCTGAGGAATTCTGGGAGTTGAAGTCCACAAGTCTTAAAGTTGGTAAGGTTGGAGACCCCTGCCTTAAGGTATTTCTTTTTTTTCCTCCTGACGATCAGCTGTTCCAACAATCAGCTGGGCTGGGATCCCCCTCACTGCTTCACCCAGAAGGCTTCCCTGAGGCCCAGGAGGCAAAATGGGGCATGCAGGGGGGGAGGTGCTGCACGCCCCTCCGCACTCCATTTTTTACCTTCCTGGGCCTCAGGGAAGCCTTCTGGGAGCAAAAACACCCTCCAGGAGACTTCCCTGAAGTCCAGGAGGCCAAAAAAAATGGAGCAAGAGGGGGAAGGGATGCTGCAAAAAAAAGAAGCCATATTCCCCCAGTCACATGGCCATGCCCACCTAGCCACGCCCACAGAACCGGTTGTTAAAAAAATTGAATCCCACCCCTGTTCCACATGATTTGAAAATCATAAATTGAGCTACATAGACAGACCTGCCCTTATCCTGAGGTCTTTTGTCAATTTCCGAGTTTGTGATGTTTTGATGCAAAATCTGAGAGGGATTTTCCTGCTGCTGAAAAGTAAATTTATATGTGGCTGGCTCAAATACCCGGTCACTGTCAGCAGCCAACTCTCCTGCAGAACCAGAAAGAAAGATACTCATAAGTGTTTTTTTCAATTACAGGAAGTTCTTAACTTATGACTACAACTAGGACCACAATTCCCATTGCTAACCAAAGCAGTTGTTAAGTAAGTTGTGCCCAAATTTACAAACTTTTTTGCCATAGTTATTAAGCAGATCATATGTTGTGAATACATTGTGAATAAATCACATTAAATGAATACATGGTCAGTAAGTGAATCCAGCTTTTCCCCTTGACTTTGCTTGTCAGAAACCAGTTAGGAAGGTTGCAAATTGTGATCATATCAACCAGGGATACTGCAACCATCATAAATACATGCCGGTTGCTAAGGGTACAAATTTCAACCACATGACTTTGAGCACACTGCAATCATTGCTGGGTGCAAGGACCAGTCATAACTTTGAACGCTTGCTAAATGAATGGTTGTAAGTCAAGGATTACCTGGGCATTTTAAATGATCCTCAGTCAATTTTTCAAAATCCATGTTCACAACTCTAACATAAACAGTTAATAAATGGACAAACAAATGGCAAGCCCTAAAGTTTGGGACAGATTGTCACTTAGATTCCATGATTAACTGATTAACTCTATTATTTATTCAAACATCTCAATATCAGTATGTCTTTCTGGTTAAAAGGGCTGGACTCTTGTATGGTTAGTTTTTCTCCTCCAAATCATCCTACAGCTCCTTCTTACAATACCATTTCCTGGTGAAAAAACTAATTCTGAAATGAAGTAGTAACACAGCCAAACAAACATAGGTATGATTGTTCCATCATCGGAAGGTTTGCAGACTCCCCAACAGTGTGTTCTGACCCAAGCTTTGTTCAAATTAAGAAAACACATGCTGTGTGTAAAAGCAAACCTTTTTTAATGTGATGCTGGGAATTATTTACATTTCCAGCCAAACTCATTAAACACAATTGTCTGCAATAAAAGCACACCTTTCAGGCTTGTACAAGGCTGCCAAGAAACAAATGTCCACTTAATTAGCAGAAGTTCCAGCAAAGACAAACCAGAGTCCGCAGGGCTTTGATGAGGAATCAGAATCTAATGAACTTCTTTGCTTCCTGCAAAGAGCACATCACTGAGGGCTGGCTTTTATCCCTTATGGGAGGGGCAATCACCTCCCAGCCTTGCTCCCAAGTCACCCCTGCTGCTTCAGCTGCTCTCTCCTTCTAGCAACCCTGCACACGTGTGCACTGGGAAAAGGCTCCCTAGGGTCCTCTGCTTTGCTGCTACTAGACTCCAATGGCTCTGAAGGCAGCACCCCACTCTCAGATAGTCCTGGCCCCATCGCTGCATCAGATGCAGGACCCTCGTCCAAGTCCTCTTCAGACTCCCTGACTGGTTCTCTTTCGTCCTCACTATCCGATACCTCTACTGTCTGCACCAGCTGCTGGCAAATCACAACACAGTGATGGAAAAGGAACAGTTTGAAAACCAACATTCAGTTCCATTTATTCATTTCAGAATGATGTTCACTGGAAAAACAGCCTGTAGATTTTACACCAGAGCCTGGACCCAGGTGTTTCTTGTAGAACTCAGTGACCTGAATGCCAAATTCAGAAGCACCAAAGCAGTTTTGAGCCTCCCCTACTCTAAGCTGCAAATACAAATAAAATAGACCCAAATCTTTTAATGCACAGAACTATTTAGAATCACTTGGAGAATTGAGATTGCTAATATAGTTGTTTTTAATTAATTAATGTTTAATTTTATAGATTTAATATGGTTTTATATGTTGTTTTAATTGATTTTGATCGGGAGTGGCCAAGACTTGGTGAGAAAATCGGCAGCTAGATAAATGCTTTCAATCAATAAAATATTAGTCAAATAAATAAATAAACTTACTTATTTGGTTGCTCCCAACTAATGATGGCACCTCGAGTAGCAATGATTCCTAAAAAAATGTACCACCAGGAGAGTTACTGTGCTTTTAATTTTTAGCCCCATCAGCTGGCATCTATGATAAAGTTAATGAAGCTTGAAGTTTTAATATAATTTACTGGGGGGGTGGGGGTTAGTCAATGAAGCTACTCTAATAAGAGAAAGACAGTTTGCTACACGTAGACTTCAACTTCAACAGTTGGGACCAGAATTTCCATTGCTAAGTAAGGCAACTGATAATTGAGTTATCTCCGATTTTACATCACTCTTTTGCCACATTTGTGAATCGTGACATCATTAAGCAAATCCAGCTTCCTCCATTAGGTTTGCTTGTCGGAAGCTGGCTGGGAAGGTTGCAAGTAGCAATCACATGACTCTGGGACACTTCCGCCATTTTTAATGGTTGCCAAAACCCCTAATTTTGATCAGGTGACTGTAAGATTGCGGCGACGGTTGTATGAGGACAGCTCAGTCATTTTTAGTCCTGTTGTAACTTCAAATAATTTACAAATGAATGTAATGTTCAGGTCCACCTTTAACAATATTAGCAAAGGCAGTCAGAAATGAAAAATCTAAACATTACATTTTAGGCATCTTTTTCCCAAGATTCTGATTTCCAGTGTAGAAACACCCATTTGGTTAACTTCTACAGCAGTTCAAGGAAATGTTAATACCAAGTAGAGTAAGATTGCTAGTAGGATGATAAGAGTCAAAAAGGAACTTGGAAAATCACCCAATCCAGACATCTCTTGTAATGTTAGCTGTACTATCTACAACCAATTATATAGAATCCCAGGAATTTCCAACCTTTTTCTTATTTGGTTGATCTGCTACGGTCTTTTTGCTATGGGAGGGAGGGAGGGAGGGAGGGAGGGAGAGGGGGGCAGCAACTAAACCAAAACCAAATCAGAATAAAAAGTTGTAAATACATTAAAATAATACTAAATGCTGAAAACACCCAAGAATTAAATTTCTCCATAAATTCATTGCAATGGAAAGCAGAGAGGCCAAAGGCAACCCCCAAGTTACATAGCAGTGCAGGAGAAGACCTCCAGGGTACCTCTGGTCTCCAACGAATCTTGACTGAGCAACACTCAGTTGGTTGCCCTTGCCTGAACACTACCCTGTACTCACAATTATTTCTTCAGATGCCACATCTATGTCTGCCTCTCTGTATATCTCTATAATTCCTTTATGGGTGAATTTTTCAGAGCAACGCCTTGGCACTTCTCGCTCCTCTTTCTCAATTATCTCCAGTTCCTGTAAGCAAGAGAATGAGACGGACATAGCTCCAAGGAGGAGGGTCATTTCTCACATGACATTCAAAGGTACACATCTGAGAATGTAGTCAAGAGGGTGACAGACCAGCAGCTTCTGAAATAAGCTCAAGGATAAGAAGAAGAACCTGAACTAGACCCAGCAATGATAGTAGGACCCACAAATTTAACTGAGCAGTGAAACATATGAGTGTCAACGCCTATCTCCTACCACAGAGCAACTAAAATTATGAATAATGGATCCACCAGGATTGTTTGCATCTCCAAAGATTATCATAATGCAAACCCATCTAAAATGTAGGCCACCTCCTTGCCTTTCGAAGATTATGCCTAAACCATTTTGGGGAACAGGTAGATAACCTCCTGGAGCAGGTTCTCAGTGCCACCAGGAAAAACTATATCACTAAATGCCTTGTGGCTGCAGAAATGCAGGTAGTCCTCGGCTTATGACCACAATTGAGCCCAATTTTTTTTGTTCTAAGTGAGACATTTGTTAAGTAAGTTTTGCCCCATTTTATGACCTTTCTTGCCACAGTTAAGAGAATCACTGTACTTGTTAATAACACAATTGTTAAGATAATCTGACTTCCCCATTGACTTTGCTGATTAGAAAGTCACAAGAGGTGATCACACTACGGCCATCACAAAGTATGAATCAACTGCCAAGCGTCTGAATTCTGATCATGTGACTATGGGGATGCTACAATGGTCATAAGTGTGAAAAATGGTCATAGGTCACATTTTTTCAGAGCCGTTGTAACTTTGGTCACTAAATGAACTGTTGTAAGTCAAGGACTAGCTGTATTGATTTTTATCTTTATTTATTCATGTATATCCCACCTTTATTATTTTCACAAATAACTCGAGGTGGTGAATATATTCAACACATCCTCCTCCTAGGAGGAGGCAAGAGTCACTTGAAAGTAAGATGGGTGGAGTATAAATTTAATAAAACAAACTCGGCTGCCAATATTAACTTTTTCAGATGGGAGAAATAAGACTGTATTTATACCCTCAGCAAATTCTTACCCTTCCAAATATGTCAATCAAGCTGAAAAGGGCGCAGGAACCTCAACTTACATGTTTATTCTTCTTGGCTCTCCACTCTGCTAGTTCCTTGGAGGCCATCTCTAAATAATCCATCTGAACTAGTCTCCTTGGGGTGACTTTTCCAAGCATCAACTTGTGGAAGAGCTGGGAAAAACACAAGCAAAAGATGTTTTGCATGAGAGCTGTAATTAAAATAATAGCTGGCCTAAAACCGCCTTATTTTCCTGTCCGTGAAAGAATACAAGAAGCCAGAAACACTTTTGAAACAAATAGTCATATAGAGTACAAACCAGGATCTGTAATCTAGCAAGCTGACTGGGTCAGCGAATCTCTCACTGCCTTCTCTAGATTTCTCCAACTCAAGATGGATAAACTTCTTTCTTTCAAGTTGGTGGGCAGGCCTCCAAGTGCATCTCAACATCCATGGACAGCAAGTCTTTTCTGTCCCATGAATTGATTTTATCTCACCCCCAGCCCACAAAACAGCCTTAAATTGTGCTTAGCTATAGAAGTACTAAGGTAATATTCATTACTTAGTCCAGCACTGTTCAAGGGTGGCCTCCAAATATGTCATATTTGTTTGTTTCATCGCCTATATCACCTTCCAGGAAAGGTTAGGAATTGAGTCAATGTAATTAGTTCTCAACTTATAACCATTTGTTTAAAGTTTGAAGTTTATTTTGTTTATTTTATCTATTTATTTGATTAATCCATCAGTCATCTCAGAATAACAGACTTGGAAGGGACCTTGTAGGTCATCTAGGCCAGGGGTCGCCAACCCTTTGGACCTCAGAGTTAAAAGCAGAGCCGAAGATCTAAAGACTCGCTAGAAAGCAAGAAATCCAACCATTTCCTGCTTCTTAGCTAATCTAAATCTCCCGGCACAGCAGAACAGCTGATGGTCGGAAAAAGGAAAAATAGCAACTTAGCAGGCAAGTTTGCCGGGTAAGGAGTGAGTGGGTGGGGAGGGTTCCAGTGGGACATGTGGGTGGCGCAGCCTTAATTAATCCTGTGCAGCCTGGATTAATTGCTTTGGGGGGTGCTCTGGGGGTGAGATTTCTCTGCGGCCAACCAAAATATTCACAAGGACCACCAGTGGGCCACAGACCACCAGTTGGTGACCGCTGATTTAGGCCAACCCCCCACCCAGTGCAGGAGACCCTACACCAGGGATGTCAAACTCAAGGCCTCGGGACTAGATCTGGCCTATGGAGCTACCCTGGAAACACCGAAGGACTGGCCCGTGATGCTTCTACCAGCAAAAACAGAGCTTCCTAGGGCCCTGTGTGGCCCTCTCCAACTCTGTTTTTGCTGGCAGAGGGTTGCAAGAGGCTGTCCCAGCTGAAAATGGAGCTCAGGAGCCCATTATCATTGGCAGAGAGCTCAGGCCAGCACAGGCACTCCCTGACCAAAGTGACATCAGGCTGGCCACACCCACCCCAGCCACACACCCCACGCCCCCAATGTCAAACACAACCCTAATGCGGCCCTCAATGAAATCGAGTTTGACACCCCTGCCCTACACCATTTCTAAGAAAGGGCAGCCCAGTCTCTTCTTGAAAGCCTCCAGTGATGAAGTTCCCACAACTTCTGAAGGCAACTTTTGTTCCATGGGTTGATTGCTCTCACTGTCAGGAAATTTCTCCTTATTTCTAGGTTAAATCGCTCCTTGACCACTTTCCATTTTTTATTCCTTGTCTGGCCTTCAGGTGCTTTAGACTTCAATGAGAAAGTGAAAAAGTGATCCCCTGTTGCCTCCAGTGAGTTAATTTCAAATGAACCAGCATTAAAAAATTTTAATGAAAACATCAAATAAGTTCCCAGTGGCAATAACTGCTATTAAATCAATAGTGCTTCCTAATATTTTTTCTTCCATTCAACCATGTCTAATTCTCACAGACTAAACAGATAACAGATAATCAGAGTTGGAAGGGACCTTGTAGGTCATCTAGTCCAACCCCCTGCCCAAGCAGGAGACCCTATACCATTTCTGACAAATGGCAGTCCAATCTCTTTTTGAAAGTCTCAACTGATGGCACTCTCACAACGTCCGAGGAAAACTTCTGTTCCATGGGCTGATTGTTCTCACTGTCAGAAAGTTTCTCCTTAGTTCCAGGTTAAATCTCTCCTTGTCCAGTTTCCATCCACTATTCCTTGTCTGGCCTACAGGTGCTCTAGAAAATAGCTTGACCCCTTTCTGTCTGTGATAGCCCCTCAAATATTGGAAGACTGCTATCATGTCTCCCCTGGTTCTTCTCTTCACTAGACTAGCCAGGCCCAGTTCCTGCAACCGTTCTTCATATGTTTTAGCCTCCAGTCCCCTAATCATCCTGGTTGCTCTTTGTACTTTTTCTAGAGCCTCAACATCTTTTTATAGTATAGTGACCAAAACTGGATGCAGTACTCTAGGTGTGGTCTTAATAAGGGTTTATAGAGTGGTATTAGTACCTCATGTGATCTTGATTGTGTTAATGCAACTTAGGATTGCATTGGCTTTTTTGGCTGCTGCTGAAAACTGCTGGCTCATGTTTAATTGATCGTCCTCTAAGACTCTTAAGATCCCTCTCACAATTACAGCTATTAAGCCAGGTTTCATTCAATCTGTATGTGTACTTTTGGTTTTCTCACTTTGAAAAGGGCTGCAGTTACAATGGCATTGAAAAAAAGTGAATTACAACTGGCCTTAACATGATTCTTACAGTGGTCCCTGCAGTCATATGGTCAAAATTTGGACAACTGGCAACCAGCATGTAATTATGATGGTTGCAGCATCCTAGGATCATGGGATTGCCATTTGTAACTTCCCAGCTGATTTCTGAGAAGCAAAGTCCATGGAAGAAGTTAGATTTGCTTAACAACTACATGATTGACTTATCTGTAGCAAAAAAATAAAACCATAAAACCATAAAACCAGGTGTGACTCATTTAATGAGATGGAAATCTTGGTCCCAATTGTGATTATAAGTCAGGGACTACTTGGAGAGGCAGCAGATGGACCAACAAGGGTGACAGCAAATTTCATGCTGATACATCTTTCTGGCAACTCAAGGATGAGTACATATTACTGGCAACTTGGTCATTAAGCAAAATGGTTAAGTAGAATTATAAGAGTGCCTATAGTTCTACTTCAGCTTTTCTTTGATTTACAGACTTGTAAAGGTCATAAATACAAATACTGGCCATAAAGTTACTTCTTCATCATCAATGACTGTAAGCAGTCCTTAAACATAGAAGGCGCTAAACAAAGTTGCTACCTCTACTATCACTCAATACAGAGTTAAACCCAAGAATTGCATGAACAGCTCATTTTATGCAGTGGTGCAGTGGTTAGAATGCAGTACTGCAGGCTACTTCTGCTGACTGCTGGCTGGGTGCGATTTGGCAGTTAGATCCTGACCGGCTCAAGGTTGACTCAGCCTTCCATCCTTCCAAGGTTGGTAAAATGAGGACTTTTAGAATTGTTGGGGGAATCTGCTGACTCTGTAAACTGCTTAAAGAGCTGTAAGGCATGATAAAGCAGCATATAAGTCTAAGTGCTATTACTAGTGCTACCTAAACCTAGCAGAATTTGGAGGAGCCATAAGCCACTGAACTGCAGCCTCCTTGTCCTTCCCTTTTATATATCATATTGAATAAAAACCAGACAAGAATAATTTATCATTTATCTTATAATTTATCATTTACCATAATTATTAAAGATTCTTCTAATTTATAAGAATAATTTATCCTGCTCACTAGATATTTGGTTCAAAAGTACCTTTTCTGATTAAATGTAATTTTAAATGGAACAAAAACATGAATGACAGCCCGGGATGGCAATAAAGCAAGCCATACTTTAAGTTCCTTGCTTCATAGTTAAGATTCTCTTAAATGTTTCAAAATAAATTATGAGGCAACTTAGCTTTTTATGTGTGTGTGTGTATTTACGACCTGGTTGTCTGTTGATTTCAGATTGAAGAGAAGACTGCGATACTTGGTTTTGTAAAGCCGATCCACACGGCCAAACTGTTTGAATATCTCCGTCTCCACTTTCTTTGCTATTTTTGATGCTGTATTTTTCTGCACGTCCAAGTCAGGGGACTCATTCAGCCTGAAATACAGAGAGGCATGGGATACGTTAGTCTAACCAGTCAATCGCTCGCACCAAATAACATGTGTTCTTTTCACTTCCACCAAAAATTAGCAAACAGGCTATTTGGAATGCTGTTCTCTTAAGACTTTTCAATGAAATACTTTATTGGAAGATACCAGGAAACACCAAGGAAGAATATTTGCTTTGGTGTTCTATGAATCAGACAGAGGCCAACTCAAGCGGCCACTCTATCCTAAAGCATACCGGAGGAATGTTGGCGGTCCTCATTATCTTAACCTATCTCAAAAAGTATCTTCATGAGTAAGGGATGCTATTTATACTATCACTTGTGTAAGTAAAACAAAAGGGACGGTCAGATCCCTATCGTGATACAACCATTCCTGTGGGGAGAGGGCCTGGATACAATATTAGCTTATTGCTCTCTTCCTATTTCCCATACATCCTGTATCCCCCTAGTTCAGAGCTCACCAACCTTTTGGACCTCAGGGACCAACAAACTCATAATTTTAAATTCTGCGACCAGAAACCCTGGGAAAATCCTCCCAAAAGTCTGCAGGAAAATTCCCCACCCTGTTTTCCTACTGATCAATCATTCTTTATACCATCTCCAGCTTTGTTCTCAGGGGGAGAGAGAGAGACTTTTGGCTTCATGCAAGGAAAGCAGCAGCAGAAGTCTTTCTTTCTCTCCCCCAAACTTCACCAGAAATAAGTCTTTGTGAGACTTGTCGCACCAACGCAACCTCTTGGAGCAGGAAGCCTTGCATGGTCCCAAAGACTCATTTCTGGCAGAGTTTGGGAGAGAGAAAGAAAGACTTAGGCTGCTTTCCTTGTGTGTAGCCAAAAGCAGAAGAAGAAAGAAGCAGAAAGAAGCAGCCTGGTGGCCAGGCAAGCCGCATGGGGAGAGTGGGACAAGTTCTTCCCTCCCCCCCCCCTCACTTCCTCATGTTGTTTGCAATGCAAGTGACGCGAGACTTGTGTTCCCATGGGCCATGTGGGAGGCGGAGCCTTATGTTCCCACGCAGCCTAGATTAATTATTTGGGGGTGACATTTCTCTGTGAACCACCAAAATTTTCTCATGGACCACCAATGGTCCCTGGCCCACTGGTTGGCAACCACTGCCCTAGTTTATAGCCTTTATCCTGGCACCTATGTGCCCTATTGATTTACCTTTTAGGGAATGTAATAAGGGGGGGAGGGCCATGTGTTTTGTGTCTCAGTCCTGAAGTTTCCTGCAAGACAAGCTTCTCTTATCTCTTTCTCAGGCCATCCGTTCTAGCAGCATCTTTGCACCTGTGGATTGGCTCATTCAACCTCAGACTGAGGAGAGGAGTTTCTAACTACTTTATCCTAACTGTATTGTTTGTCTCCTGATGGCGACTTTAGATCCTGCTTTCCTTGGTCCTGCAACCACTCTCATCCAATAAAAGGTTCCTTTTGAAATGCTGGAGTTTCAAGAGCCTTTACTTTCTTGAACGGTGAGGAGAGGCAGACCCTTACAGAGACTTCCGTTTGCCACCATCGTAAAGTGGGACCGTGTTAGCAAAACAGAAACATAAAAGAAAATGTGTGCTAATTCAAGCATCCTTGAAGTGTCTGATTCTCAGTAACCTTTATCAAAATTTCTATCACCAACTGACAGGTTCTTCTATTAAGAAAATAATTCTTGAAGACAGTAACGGTGTCGCGACTACGCAACACACATGTTTGCATCGAAGCCACAGTAACCTGAAGGATGGCATTCCTCTTCATCAGAATAAACTCTCTATCATAATTATATGTGCGGTCTATGTAAAATGCTGTGAGGTGAAACTCTATGCATTAACCACGATTCATGTGATTGAGTTCATACGAATCATTATCATTAAGAACGGTAATCAGGGGTAATGAAGGGTAATGAGGGGAAATCATTATAAATATTGAGTCCCAGGAAACTCGGGTTAGATCCAACTTTATTTTGTTTGCTTAGCTATTATCTCGGACTCCTTGCGGAGGAAGGAATAAACAATAAGCTTTTGTGTTACGAAATACTGAAGCGAAGAGTGTCTTATTTTCTCCCTGCATTTGTGCCAAAGAGTAGCTGAGAAACAGTATAATCTCCAATGCCCACTGTTAAATGAGTTGTTCTTCAGTAAGCGTTGATTATCGGCTTTTGGGTCCTGCATTTGATTCCACGCATCAATTAATTTTTAATTACTATTATTTATCAAATTTAAATTCCCAATTTGATTCATGGTAATTAAAAATTAATCTCATCACGTTTGTCCCCCTCCTGTATACCAAGGATGTCCAGCCATACTGACCTACCTTTTCTGGAGGGTTTCTGTCAAGGCTTCCATGACTTTAATGCGACTTTGTTCTTGAGAGAGCCAAGACCTAGATATTGGTTTGGGAGTCCTTTTTGGTGTTGTCTTCTCTTTTGTTCTGCAGCCTTTTAAAATAATAGGACATACTTGAGGCAATATAACAGAGGAATTTGCAGAAGGAAATTTGAGGAAGGCCTACTATTACTTCCTTGTTAAAAGCTCCACTTTTTGGCAGTTCATATATATGCATTCAGTACAACAGAAGAATGCCTCCCTATCTTCTCAAAAAAAAAACCCCAAAAACCTAATGTCAGCATTCCAGAAAACCTCCACTCCAACCAATAACTCTGAGACAGACAAACTCTCAAAAGTTCCTTTTATTTGGATAGTAACTGGCACAACTGTGGAATCCCGAATCTGAAAGTTCTGGGCTTCTTTACAATAAGTGAAAAATACAAATCCATCCTTTGCACCCATCACCACATCACGTGGCCCAATCACCATCCGTCCCAAAGTAACATGACCTGACCTTGAATCAGAAAAAGAATTTTATTATGTCTAACTAGATATACTCCAATGAATTCCCCCCTCCCACTTTCTCAGGCTCAATTGTGCCAGTGTGGGAGCATCAGATCTCAATATGGCTTCCAAAACTGACAGCTTCATTCTTAGCCTTCCAATCAGTTTAATGAAATTTGCCTCAACTGAGATATCTTATGGGGAGGCAGGTCCCAATTCAAACGCTCTCTCTAATTATCAAACCAGATTCAAAAATTAAAATTATCTCAGAACTAAATGAGAGAATTAGATTGGGGCAGTTTAAACCCTTGTACTTGTTTGTTTTCAAGTAATAAAAAAGAACTTGCTGAAAAAACCGCATCTTTCAAGCTAGCATCTTTAAGATAAGTGGACATCGGCTCCCAGAATTCCTCAGACACCATCCTGGCCGAGGAATTCTGGGAGTTGAAGTCCACACATTTTAAATTTGCCAAGTTTGAAAAAACTGCTGTAAAGAGATTAGAGCAGGAATTCAAATTGCCATTCCAAATCACAAAAGACTCAAAACAGAAATTGTTGAGCTCGTTATCAGAAGCACCTCTTCTTTCCATTTCAGTTTTCCTGGACTTCTCTTTTTCTCTGAAAATTCCAAGCTTTGCTTTCAAGGTCTGTGAAACAGGACTAATCACGCATGTCTTTGTCTTTGTGACAGGAAGATATGGGTTCTAACTTTTCTGGTTTGGAAGCTCAAAGGCTGCCATTCACTTCCAGTGCTTTTACCAATGCTTTTTGCAACATTTAATGAATTTAAATTGCAGAGAATTTTGTATTTTTCTGAGTACACTTCTGATTCTAGAAATAAATAGAGGAATTTAAAACATCCACTGAATGAAATGTATGGCCCATTAATGCATGACAGATATTCTTCAGAGCCTGTAAGGGATTTCAACATTTTATAGACCACGATAAGCGCTCCTGAATTATTGCTGACTGCAATAAACATGACAAGAAGGACCTTATCTTCTTCATAGCCCCTTCTTCAAGGAAGCTGTTGCAAATCTCAGAATCTCTTTTTTTTGCCCATCTTTCTTCAGTTTCAATCAATTTTTTAGAAGTGTATGCACATGGTTGCAGTTTGCCTTCTTCCTTTTCTTGGAGTAGGTCTGCTGCAACTGCCACATCACTGGCATCAGCTTGAACTACAAAGTTTTTCCAGATCAAGATGTTTTAACACCAGTTTGGCTGAAAAAATCTTTTCAGCTTTACAAAGGCTTCTTGGCCTTCCATAGACAATTTTAGTGGCTAGCTAGGTTTCGGGTTATCTACCCCTTTGGTTTTCAACAAGTTAGTAATTGGAAGTGCTATTTGGGCAAAAGAAGGGATTTCTGATAGAAGTTGGCAAAACCCAGGAAGCTGCATAATTGCTTGCGGACATGAGGGGTTTTCCCACTCCAGCACCAGCCTGACATTTTCTGAATCCATTTCCACTCCTTGATGATAGATTCGGTATTCCAAGTAATTTATTTTGGTTTGGTGGAATTTGCACTTGGACAGTTTGGCAAACAACTTAGCTGCTCGTAGCTTTTTCAAGACTTCCCACACTAACTTAATATGTTCAGCCTTAGTTTCAGTGTAAATCAATATGTCATCAAAATAAACCAAAACCCCTTTGTACAAGTGCTCATGCAGCACTTCGTTAATCAGCTGCATGAAAACAGCTGGGGGCCCCTGGAGTCGGAACACCAAAGCTTTGAACTGAAAACACCCCAACGGACAGTTAAACACTGTTTTCTACTGATTCTCCCTCCCAAATTCAGATCCCTTAATAAGCTTCCTTTAAATCTAATTTGGAGAAAATCCTCCCTTTTATTAAATGAGCCAGTATGTTTTTTATCAGGGGTAGGGGGTACAGATTATCCTTGCAAATAGCATTCAAATTTCTATAGTCCACTCATAGACGTAGTGAGCAGTCCTTTTTCTCTTGGAACAGTACTGGGGCTGCCATCTTGAGACTGACAGGTTCGATGAAGCCGCACTCGAGTTTTTTTGTCTATGAATCAGCACAGGTCATCCAGTTCCCAAGGGGTCACGGCATACATTTTTGGCTTAGGTAGTTTGGACCCTGGTAGAATCTCAATGGCAGTCTGTTGGTCTATGAGAGGGGAGTTTGTCTGGAGCTGCTTCACTAAACACATCAATTAAGTCTCAGTACTCTCTGGGGATGCCTGATAGGGATCTGCTTGTCACAGCAGGAACTATTTCCTCATGGTGTGGCATTCCTGCCTTGTGAGATGGTGTGGCATTCCTGCCTTGTGAGGCTCCTCCATCTGGGCCGATTCACTGTTAGGGAATCCATGGGTCCCTTCTATCCAGTCCACCCTCGGGTTCTATTTCTTTAGCCAGGTTAGTCCCAAAACTAGTGGTCACTCAATCCCTGGTGTTACAACGAAAGCAATGGTTTTGGAGTGGTTTGCCGTGGTGAGCTCCAACAATTCAGTGGCACAAGTGGCTGGGGTGCTTCCCACAATGGATCCATCAAGCTGGCAAAAAGAGCCTGGAGTTTTTAATGACCTTAGTTGGATCTCCAGTCTTCCGACTAAAGTGGAGATTATTAGGTTCCTTGTGCACTCCCGAGTCCAACAACGCTTTAAATCTTACTTTTCTCCTCGTTAGTGGGATTAACAGTTCTATGGGGTTCAACTTTCCCACTTACCAATGGGTCTTTGTAGTCACTCCCTGAATGGTCAGGTTCTTCTGCTGGAGGGGTTAGAGTTCCCAGTGCCGGAGGTGACTCTGGCAGAAACTGCATGACCATGTGACTCTTCAAAGTGCTGTCCCTAGGATGCTGTGGTTTTGCAGGTGTTCCTATGGTTGGTTCTCTTCCTTCTGGGCAGGGGCCTTTGCACAACAATCAACCATGCAGTGGCCTTCTTTCTTGCAGTTAAAACAGGTGGTCGCATGCGGTGGGGCAGAGCAAGGTTTGGCCATCTCTCTTCTCTATTCGGGTGGGGACCTCCTCCAGGTGTGACTCGTGCAGTACTGGTTCCGGGCTTGGTTGATTTCAGCTTCCTCAGCCAAAACATGCTAGTCATATAGGCAGTGGGGCTCCGCGGGCCACACAGGCCATTATCGTTGAGCCCATCCTTGAACCAGCTCACCAGTATTTCCTTAGCCAATCCACGTGGCTGGCCAGGTCTCAGAATTCCTTGATGTATTCAGCCACTGGTTGGTCTCCCTGTCTGATGCGCCTGATGCTTTCTCTAGCCTTTCGATCAGTTAGGGGGTCCTCAAATCTTTGCCTCAGAGCCGTCATAAAGCAGTTGATGTTTCGGAACTCTTTCTGCATTGTGGCAGGTCACCATCCAGCATGCATCCCTCTCTTCTAGGACCAGGGTGAAGACTCTGGCTTTGGCTTCTTCTGGGGGGAAGTCCCTCCCATACTCCTGCATGTAGGTTAGCACGTCCACGAGGAAACATTCCAGTTGTTGGGGGGTCCCCATCAAACTTGACCCCGGGGGGTACCTTTCACTCTAGAGGGGTGCCTCCCTTCCTCGAGCCATGGGCTATGCCCCATGCCGGGGTCCCTCCGGGGAGGATTTTCCAGGGTGATGGTGGACTCAACAGTGGCTCCTGCATCATCCACAGATATCCCCAGTGTTGAGGATCAGCATCTAAAAAACTGCCCCCACAAACAAGACAGTCTTGCTCATCCCATAAATTATCCCATTACTCCATTGCAACGGATCAAACCGAGAGCTCTTATAAGTTCTATTTACACTTTATGACCAATAAATCTCACAATTCCCAGTTGATTGTCAATGTGATAGAGGGGCCAGGCCCACAGCAACCTGACATTTGTTCAAACCCTTATTCTGTCATAAAGCTTATCACACAAGTCCCCAGGGCAGGGTTTAAAAACACTACAGACATTTCCGTTTGCGCCCTCCAGGCCCTATGTGCAATGGGATGTTCAATTAAAAAATAATAGAAAACAAAATTAAGGAAGAAATGGGGAAGTTATAAAGGAAAACATCAGCTTCTAGCATCGTCCGTATTTTAAAAAATGCCTCTAGGGGCCATAACATTCCTATAAAATAAAAATAAATGGGGCTGTTTTCTTTGGAAATCTGCCTCTTTGTTGAGAATTACAGGAAAAATAAGCTGCTGAGCCGAATGACGTACTCTGCAATATTGGTGAGAAGCATCCTTAGTTTTTCTTTTTCATTTTTTAAAACTGGAAGCTGACCACGATAGCTATTGGGTAACACAGCCAAAATGCAATTTCAACATTCCCAGTGTTGTCCCAGCCCTCAAACTGGGAGTCACTGATCATGGGTTCAACCTTAATTCACTCTATTAATTGGCTCCTGAACATATAAAATAAGCAAGTCCTTAATTATCTGACAGTCTCCTTTCTACTACAATATGAAGGACTGCAGTGTCTATGGAGATTCTCCGTCATCCAGGACATAGTTGTCCCAAAGGTGCTTTTTCAAAAGGCAACTGGACTTGCTTTGTTTTTCTTTGAAGACATTTCGCTTCTCATCTAAGAAGCTTCTTCATTTCTGACTGAAGGGTGGAGAATGGAAGGATTTATATTCCTTGCCATCAATCTAGTCATTAGCACTAAGTTACTTCAAGGAACATAAAATGCTTCCATTCTCCACCAATCAATCAGCACTGAAGAAACTGGATGAGAAGTGAAATGTCTTCAAGAAAAAGATTGGACACAACCCAGAATTAACATGGACTTTGCCAATTCGATGCTTTCCTAAATAAAAGAATTTGTCGTGGAAGATGGGCTTTGTTCTTTTCTTTTTAAATGGATTTCATCACTTGGAAACCTGACATAGATAAAGTCACCTTTACTTTTTTATAAGATGCCCAGATCTCTTCGCTGGTTATAAATTCTATAAATAAATAAACTAGCAGCAACTTACCTAAACATATGGCTCTGTTTAGCAAACAGAGGCTATCTTCTTCTTTTCTCTTTGAACAGAGCCTGGCCCCACTGCCTTCATATTTCTTGCATTGCAGGAATTATGACAATAATGCAAGGGAAAAAAAACAGGATTAAATTAATGGCCTCTTCCAGACATGAATTCAAATTAAATTACCCATTGGTTGGTCATTAGTATGCAGCCCACAGTTGCATAGGAGAAAAAGGAAGTTTACTCTAGAAATGGGCTCAGGCATCAGATTAATCCATGGATTGTTTAACTATTGCTACTGTTAGAAACAGTACGAGTTTGCAGACAGAACAACTTGAGACAATAGCTTGGAAGCAGCAAAGGATTTATTCATTTTATTTGCAAACACGGGTGCACACAAGCTGGGCCCAGCAGGAAGCATTCACCAGCTTTTTATCTCCTTACAGAAGTTCACCCTCCCCTGCCACCACTTTGGCCCCGCATCCTGTCAAAGACATCAACTTTATATGGTACCTACTCCCCTCAAAAAAGCCTGCTTGCCTGTGTCACATCCCCAGTTTAACAGTTTAACTATAACCTAGTTTTTGCTAGCATAAGCTCTATTTTTATCTTTGTCTTTCCTTGACTTGAGGTGTCAACTGGTATTTAGCTGTTAGCTAATATTGAAGCTGCTCAGAATTTCCCATTTAGCACATATGTTAAGCATTTATTTTAGAAACAATAACAATTCTGCTTTTTAAAAAAAATAAATGATACTGCCCCAGAAAGCTGGTCCTGCCCTGTGGGCAACACCTAATGGAACCACACACTGAAGTGGAGATTTGAAAAGACTTTTTTCTGCACAAAAGAAGGATATGGGGGGATCGCTCCATGCCTTAAACTAGAGGTCTCCAAACTTGGCAACTTTTAAGACTTGTGGCTGAAGAATTTTGGGAGTTGAGGTCCACAAGTCTTAAAGTTGCCAAATTTGGGGACCCCTGATTTAAACAGTACATTTTTACAGATTTATTTGCTCACAGGCCCCAGAAGCCATCTCCCAAGACCACCTAAAACAGTGGCCCCCAACCTTTTTCAAACCAGGGACCAGTTTCACGATTATTTATTCTTCCACGGACTGGTACCTGAGTAATGTGAGACTCCACCGCCATCGGGATGGCTCTTCGTTCGAAGCCACCACCCCGCTTCGATGAAACTAAGGCGCGAGCACCCAAATGCCGCTTTCCAACTGAAAAACCGGAAGCAACTGAAAACCCGGAAGCACTGTCGAAACAAGATGGTGGCGCCCAAGCTTTGAGGCCCAGTAAAAAATGATCCACGGACCGGTACCGGTCCAGGGACTGGTGGTTGGGGACCCCTGACCTAAAAGACCAACCCACTTCCATCCCCTATATTAGGGGTGGAGTTCTACTGGTTCAGACCAGTTCTATAGAACCGGTTGTTTTGATTCTGCACAGTTCAAAGAACCAGCAAATTGTGCCCCTGGCTCCCGCCCCTCTGCCCGCCTCTCCCTTCCCTGCCCAGTCAGTCCTTATCGTGCATGTGCAACATTGCGCGCATGCCCAACATCTCTGGCAGCGTTCTCCCCAGCCCAGTCACTCCTTAAGGCATTTCTTTTTTTCCCAACAATCAGCTGTTCCGATGATCAGCTGTGCCAGGATCCACCTCGCTTACTTACTGCTTTGCCCAGGAGGCTTCCCTGAGGCCCAGGAAGACAAAAAATGGAGGGGGGCACTGTTCTTTTCCTTCCTGGGCCCCAGGGAAGCTTCCTGGGAGCAAAAACACCCCTCAGGAGGCTTGCCTGAGGCCCAGAAGGCCCCCCAAACAGGGTAGGTGGGGTGGTGCTGCCCAAAAAATGCAAGCCATGCCCCCCCCGGTCACATGACCATGCCCACCTAGCCATGCCCACAGAACCAGTTGTTACAAAATTTGAATCCCACCCCTGTCCTATATTCAGCAAATCAATATATAATTAATCATTTAAACAATTCCTAGCATTTACTATCCCCAAGTTCCCTTTTTATGAGGCCTCTTTATACCATGGCAACATTTAGGGTTTCAACAGAGCAGGCATTTCTGCGGGTTTACTGACCAAGCTGTTTTCATTACCCCCCCCTTATGCATTAGCAACTGATTGCAAAAGGTCTGCAAAGCAAAAACAAGAATTTCTGGCAGATGCTAATTTTTTTAGGGGAAGGGGGTCTTGGGATCTTTCCTTCACTAGGAATTTCTAAATAAATCAGTATTACTTTAACTGAGCTATAGAACAAACAAGAAGCCATCAAACTTTCAGATATCCAAAATTATTTCATAGCAATGAGCCCTGGAAAGTATGTTCAAAATAATTGATTTTGTTGTATAGGTACTCTTTTGGATGAATGCTCTGATTTTGAATCTGATAATCCACTCAAGACCACCAGAAAGAGAAGAAGGGAAAAAATGAACCGATAAATGATCAATACATTAAATATTGAATTGGTGAGAGCGGTCTTTTCTCCTGCAACATCAACTGTACTGGATGGAAATTTATCAGAATTCTTCCTGGCACAAATTATTAAGTTTTTGCCTGAATGATGTGGTCATTCTATTCCATCTTTCTGTCATTCACAGCTGTCCTATTCTGTCATTTATTCAATTATTCCATGAAGTTGCAAAGGAAAGTGCAAAATAACAACTCTGAATGAAACTATGGAATGATTCACCTCAGCATTTGAAGAATCCTCCAGTTCTGTAAGTCTTCCCAATCTGGACTTTTTCTGATTAACGCTGGGACTTCCAAGAAGTTTCACTAGTGACCCAAAAAGTTCCTAGGGAAAAAAAACCCCACACAATTACAGGTAATCCTTGACCTACAACAGTTCATTTAGTGACCATTCAAAGTTACAACGGCACTGAAAAAAGTGATTGATGACTGTTTTTCTCACTCACAACTGGTACAGCATCTCTTTGGTCACATAAACAAAATTCAGAGAACTAGCAACTTGGCAACTGGTTTGTATTTATGATGGTTGCAGTGCCCCAAGGTCCTGTGAACCCCTTTTGCAACCTTCTGGCAAGCAAAGTCATTGGGGAGTCAGATTCCCTTAACAACCACGTCATTAACTTAACAATTGCAGGGATTCACTTAACAGTGGTGGCAAGAAAGCTCATACAATGGGGCAAAATTCATTTAACTGCCTTACTTAGCAACAGAAACGTTGGGTTCAATTGGGGTTGTAAGTCGAGGATTATCTATATACTAAAAATTTCTTATAAAAAATTCTTCTGAATTATTTTAGAACTGAATAATCACATAAAGAGCAATGATATTTTAAAAGGATAATATATTAGTACTATAGATTGTAAATTTATATCATTTTGTAAAAAAAAACACTTCTGTAAATATACATCTTTAGGGAAAGAGGACATTTTAAATTTCTAGACAGCAATCCTGAAATACTTCTACTGGATGCAGAAGTAAATGCCTGGGTGAAGTTCCAAGTAGCTTTGGATTTTCATCAGTTTTATTGTAAACAGTTTTATTGTTTCCTGCATCTGTGAATCTTAACAGACAAGGATGTCAAGACTCACAAAACTCTTTCAAAGCTTACACATGAAAACACTCTTAACAATTTTCCCAATTTTTTCACCTATAGCATAACTATAAAATCTACAGATAGTCCTCAATTTTTGATCTTTTTTTTAATTTAAGAATTCCTTATTGAAATTCAAAATATTAATAAATAATAAAAATTCAAATTATTAAAAAAATACAAAAAATTCTATAATAGAAGATGTGTCAATATTTTTCAACATCATTTTCTTGAGAGTACAATAAATACAATACATACGATTAATACTTGACAGTTACTCATCGTATTGGTAATACTAATTCACAGTGCCTTAATAATATTAATAAAAAGTGATTCATGAATATAAGTCATTGGTTCAAAAAAGATATATATATATATATATATATATATATATATATATATATATAGAGAGAGAGAGAGAGAGAGAGAGAGAGAGAGAGAGAGAGAGAGAAATCAGACATAAATCTATATAATTATAGTCTATGTACTTTGCTCTCTATTCCCTAACTATAAAAGGACGTATGTTATATATTTTTCAGTATACAATATAACTACATAGATATTATAAATTAAATATGAATATTTACATGAATATTTTTGATCTTAATGGAGCCTGTCCATTACAGTTGTAAATTGTGATGATCATAAAGTGGATTATCACGTGATTCTTTTTGCAATTTCATTTTTAAATGAACCTATTGTTCTCTATGGGATGTTTTTTGCCATTAATTTGATGTACTGAGCCTTGGTGGCGCAGTGGTTAGAATGCAGTACTGCAGGCTACTTCTGCTGACTGCAGCTGACTGTAATTTGGTAGTTCAAATCCCACCAGGCTCAAGGTTGACTCATCCTTTTGAGGTGGGTAAAATGGGGGCCCACATTGTTGGGGGCAATATGCTGACTCTGTAGACCGCTTAGAGGGGGCTGTAAAGCACCATGAAGCGGTATATAAGTCTAAGAGCTATTGCTAAATGTCAGTTTTTGACCAAAATATCATAAATTGTAGTCACATGACTATGGGACCGACCCTTAATGAACAGCATGACTTACAAATGTAATTCTGGCTTACTTACAGTCCTAAGCTGAGGGCTACCTGTAAACATTTGGCTCTTTAAATTGTTTTGGAACTCTTGCCTCCAGGTGGGACTGTTGTTGTGATTGTAACACCAAGACCACTAAAAACTAGTAACTTCAGAATTTGCACTCTAGAAATTGCAGTTTGAACCTGGAACAAAATATCTGTGCTGCACGTTTAACAATTACTCCAATGGAGAAGTTTAATCAAAGGCAGTTTCTATCTATTATGCTGCAAAAAGAAAAGGAACTTACATAAAAGACCATTTTTACGCTCTGAGACTGACACCGCAGAAAGCCTTCTTCTTCCTTAGAAAGAACATACAAACCTTAAGTCATCCTTTCATATTAGTTTATCTCTTTTTTAGTGACCTGTTTACACAAAAGGATCGTCTCCTGATCTGTTTTCCCTCAAATCCATCATCAAAATCAAACACAAAGATTCTTCTTGACTATTCTGTTGGGCACTAGGTCCAAATAAAAATGTTTCATAGACTGCTCTTGATTTTAAGTTTCCCTTCTCTGAAAGATGGGACTGAAATTTGCACCTAAGAAATGGTACATTGAAATTCTCCATTGGAGACTCTCTTTTACCAACCAAACGTAGGTTAAACCTGGCCAGAGAAACAGGTGCTAGAAAGTTTATGCTGATGAATAAGCATAATAAGAATAAGCATAGTGTTTTGTGACAAAGACCCAGCTTTTATTATTTATGCTGATTTTTTGCATTTAAGATCTTAAGCATTTAAATGTAATTCTCTCACAAAATCTAGGAAAGCAAATAATGACTTTGAATACTGGCACTAATCATGGATAATATAAAATACATTGTTAACACTTGTTACCAGGGGCATATGGAGGAACTTCCTGATGCTTATCCATCATAATTATGTGATCAATGTTGCCATCTCAATTTTTTTTTATATTTTAATATACAAGCACACATACCCTGGTGTTAACCCAACGTGGGAGCAATAAGGATCTGGAAAAGCACAGAAAGTACAAAGGTAATCCTTAACTTATGACCTTTTTTTAGCAACTGTTCAAAGTTACAACAGCACTGAAATAAGTGACTTATGACCAGTCCTCACACTTATGGCCATTTTAGCATCCCCATGGTCACGTCATCAAAGTCTGGGGGCTTGGCAACTAGCATGTACTTATGTACTTATTTGTCAGAAATGGTGTAGGGTCTCCCGCTTGGGCGGGGGTGGTGGTGGACTAGATGACCTACAACGTCCCTTCCAACTCTGTTTATCTGTTCATCTGTTATGATAGCTACAGTGTCCCAGGGTTATATAATCATCATTTGAGACATCCACGAAGATTCTTAATCATCCAGGTCATGGTTGTCCCAAAAGTGCTTATCCAAGAGGCAACTGGACTTTCTTAAGTTATTTTCCTTGAAAACATTTTGCTTCTCATGAAGAAACTAGAACTGAAGCAGCTTCTTGGATGAGAAACGAAACGTTTCAAGGGAAAATCCAGTTGCCTTTTGGGACATCATTTGACACTTCCCAACCAGCAAAATCGAAGGAGAAAGCCAAATTTGCTTAATGGCCACATGATTCATTTAACAACTGCAGATTTACTTAATAACCATGGCCACAAAAGATCATAAAATGGGACCTAACAACCTTACTTAGCAAGAGAAATTCTAATTCCAACTGTGGTCATAAGTCAAGGACTACCTTTATATTGTTAGATTGTCTTACTACTAATTCCTATATTCAGCATCTGGTCACATTTGATCCAGCCTAGAGTGCACAGGGGACATTTTCCCAAATTGAATTGTTACTCTCCATAAAGAGACTAACTATAATCATACTCCCACAGAAATGTTTTGTTTTGCTGGTGGAAAATGCATATTTCCTTTTTCATTATTGAAGAAACTGACTTGTTTGTCTTCAACTGGCATTGCTGCCTTTTCTACTTCAGTGTGTATGAAGACTCCATCATCGTCATCTGGGTATGTCTGCTCTGCTAAATGGCCATCTGATAGTAAACATTCAGCACCGCGACCTGAAAGGCCATCATCTCCATACTCCAAATCTAGAGCCATTTTTTCATCAGCTACACACACAGGAGCTTTATCACACTGAATTTCATTGTTTTTTAGCAGAGACCAGAAGCTCTCTATATTTTTACCACAATCCTTGGTATTACTTTCTTCCTTTTCAAGGGTCATTTGATCTCCATGGATCTTTTCAGTGAATGTATTCAGACTGAGACTCACCATTTCCTTTATTGGCAGCTTAATTTCACTCTTGTTGGAAGTCAGAGTCTGTATATCTAAATTAAGATTTATTTCTGAAAATGATGAGAGAAGTTCGGATACCTGACATCTGCCTCCTTTGTGAGGGTTTTTATCAGACAAGATCGTTGTGCTAACTGATGTCTTGGAGAATATGTCCTTGCTAAAGGCAGAGATCATTTCCTTATTCCGCAAAATTCCTTCACCAGAGACAGAGATGGAATGTAGGCTGTAGGGTTGGGTTACATCACTAATAGTTGTTTCACTTGAATCTCTTGAGAGCACGATCTCTACATCCTGATCAACTTTTGTTTTATAATAGGTGCCATCCTCCTCTATTTCTTTAACCACATGGCTCCCAGATTCCATACATTTTTTACTGGGTTCAAGACACTGAGTACTCGATTTTTCTGCATCAAAGCTTCTTTCTCTGTCTTCATCTGTTTGGGTGTGACAAAGATCCATTACTGCATTTCTATGGTTTGGTTCAATAAAAGATAATGTTGCAAACAAGCTCTGATCATTCAACGCGGAGCATTTTGAAGATTTGGCTCCATTTCTAGATTTTCTAAGGTCACAATCTGAATTGGTTTGCTCAGGGTCCAATTCTTCAGAAAATCCCCCTCCTTCCGTAGAATTATCCACCTCTGTGGTGCCCCTCTCCGTTGTGCCCTTTTTATCCTTTTCTAGCATTGCTTCAACATTTGAAATTTGGTAGGACTTCTTTAACGTGGGAATGCAATTTTTATCCAATATGTCATATAGTGCGACTTGCAGTTGTCTAAAAGCTGGAAACTTCTTGTGCTGGATTTGTGGTGCCAGCTGCTTTCCACGTGGAGCCTCAGGCACTTCTTTTCTTTCATGGTTGATATTTTTCAACAGTACAAAAGATGCCTTTATTATTGTATTCTGCTTTAGAGATTTCTTTCGGCGTTTGCAAGACGTTGATAGAATTTCTGAGGTTAAACCAATCTGTTTTCCACTGTTTTCTTTCTTTGCTCCTGCTTTTTTGGATTGATGTGCTGTAAATTCCATTTGTAATTTCTTCAACTAATGCTTTTCGTAATGAAAAGGAAAAGGTTCCTCGGTGTATTCTTTCCTTGCAGGGCAATTGCTATTTCATATCCTTTTCTCTGCACAATCCTTCAAAGACTATGGAGTCTGTATTGTGAAAAGAAGAAAAATCAAATACAGAGGCAGTGCAGTCTTCCTCCCTTATTTCTTTTATCAATTTTGTCCCCTCCCCGTAATCTCTACCAGCTCTGAGGGTAAAATCTCGGCCATGTCTTTAAGGAGGGTGCATCTTTATATGAGGGTGCATCAAAAACACGTTATTTCATTGCGCCCCATCCTCCCACAGCGAGCCGCGGGAAGCCGGCGGAGGGGTCTCCACGCTGCGTCCTTTTCCAATGCAAGACCCCGCAGCCGAGCAGGGGGAGGATGGGGCGCAAGCGGGCGGCTTAAAGCCCAACGGTCGTCCAGTCCAGCCGCGAACAACCCACGCGCCTCCTTCACAAAGGGAGTTTTGATCCTACCAGGGGAACGCCCCGCCCACACCCCTCGCCCCGCCCACGCCGAGTCCGCATTCCCCAGAGGTGGGCGGGGCGAGCGGGCGGGGCCTGCCCGAGAAGCCAATAAGGCGGAGGAGGGCGGGGCTTGAGCGCTTCCGGCCCGCCCCCACGCGTAAGCACGTGTAAGTAGCGGAGTTTCTTCGGCAGGGATCGGTGGGTTATGCTCGCCCGTGCAGCGCGTGAGTGGCGATTTAATCCAAACGCAACTGAGGGACGTCGGGAAGGCTTGGCCGGGGCTTCGCGCCACGTGTTCAAACGGAACGTCGGACAGGAGCCGGGGAAGGCACAGAAGGCAGGAGTGGGTAGGGCTTGGGTCTCGTAGCAGAGCCGCCCCTAGTGGTTTCCTCCCTCCCGTTGAACTGGTTCTTTGGGTCATGGGTCTCCTTTGGATTTTGTACAGTATAATTGAGGACGGGGAGGGGGTGGCTCACTTTGTAAGGAAATCATCAAAACTAAACGTAAGAGATCGGGGCGGTAGAAGTCGGACAATCATTATTAGATCAGGGGTCTCCAAGCTTGGCCACTTGAAGCCGGGTGGACTTCAACTCCCAGAATTCCCCAGCCAGCAAGGAGTTGAAGTCCACCCGGTTTCAAGTGGCCAAGCTTGGAGACCCCTGCATTAGATAACACATAATCAGAGTTGGAAGGGACCTTGTGGGTCATCTAGACCAACCCCCTCCCCAAGCAGGAGATCCTACACCATTTCTGACAGATGGCAGTCCAGTCTCTTCTTGAAAGTCACAAGTGATGGCGCTCCCACAACTTCCGAGGGCAACTTCTGTTCCACAGCCAAGAATGGAAGCCTCTCCCCCCCCCACCCCCAAATGCAGCTCAGATCTGGAAGCTCCAGTGCCTAATAAGGTGGCCTTTGGGGGAATAGTTGGGCAGCGTTTGAATGGCGCAAAGGGTGTGTGTGTGTGAGAGAGAGAGGAAGATGGCACGCTGCTTGGAGGGAATGGCTGAAACAGGTGAGACCTAGAGCCAAGCTTGAAAGGAGCCTCGAAGCAATGGGGGACAATCAGTGGTGGGATTCAATTTTTGTATTACTGGTTCTTTGGGGGTGGCTTGATGGGGGTGGTAGGGGAAGTTTACTGCAAAACCCCATTCCCGCCCCACTCCACTAACCTGCTTTCCAGCTCATTTCTCCAGTGCAGGGCAACAAAAGATACAGGCGATCAGGTGGGACTCAGGAGGCAGAGGATAGATAGGGTTGGTGGGGCCAGTCAGGGGGGGTATTAGAACTACTCAAAATTTCTGCTACAGGTTCTCCAGAACTGGTCAGGATCTGCTGAAGACAACCTCTGAGGAGAATGGAAGCAGGATGACGCTGCTTTAAATGGTCTCATACCTTGCTCCAAGCCTTTCCATCTGTTGGTTGCGGGATGATTGCCTTTCCCCGCTAAGAGCCTGAATTAACTGTTCACCTGCCTTTGGTATCCCGGCCTGGTGAGCACCAATATGAATAATCAGATAAAATAATTCATGCCACAAAGCTCAAACAAAACAACTGAGGACTCTGACATGAAATAAGCAGGCAGATTAAATATCTAACAGTGGTATATTTGATGCAGATTGGTTGTTTACAACCCTAAACCACCTGCCATCAGTTACATTAGGATAGTAGCTGATTGACACTATTTCAGGGAGTTGTTTGGTTTTGGCATAGTGAGACATGAATTAAAAAAAACAGGGTGAAGGATATTTAGCTGCATGTACCCCTATAGAATAAAACTATGAAGTGATAATTGAGCTACCAATTTTTGGCTGAGTTCCTGTTGTCTTGCACTGAAGGAACAAGAGTGTCATGCTCCCAGAGAATGGAAGTATCTACTTCCATCTACAACCTTGGTGCCCCAAGATAGCTACAGTTGCCTTACTTTGACTAATTAAATGTTATTAGCAAAACAAACCAATTAGATTCTGATCTTGTACCCTAAATTCCTGTTCTGAGATTGGCTCTTGTGAAGGAAAGTTTCAAGAAAGCAGGTTTCCAAAATTAAATGCAGCTCAGATAGTTGTGTTTACATGACACATCAAACTGCAAAACAGGTAACCACATTTTAGCTTAGTTTGTTGTGCAACTTGGCCCATGGGGTCAGTGCCAGATTTAGACTTGGGGCCATAAACCAGGGTGTTAAACAGGCGACCTGCAGGCTGGATTCATCATGTGCAGGTGGCACCCAGCTCTGCGAAGGTGGGAAATATTGCAGGATGTCATGTGATGGCAATGTGACATGGCAAATTTGACACCTGTTCCCTAAGCTATATAAAACCTGAAGGCCCTCTTGTTAAAAAAAAATTGCACTGGAAAGTCTCATAAAGATGTGTAGCAAAGCAGAACCTTTGGTCACCACAAAAAATGTGCATTTTAATTACATATAAAGCCATTTTAAAACCTCACATTTACTACGCAAAGTACACATAAACGCCACATAAAATTTTTTAAAAATCTCTGAAATGTTGAGGCGCCCGATGGATTGGGAGGCCTAAGTTTGGCTTGTTTAATGTATGCCTAAATCTGACAGTGCATGTGGTTAATTCATAGCTCACTTCAGTTCATGTTTTTTGCATCAAATCAGTCCAGTAACTAAGGAATGCCCAGATCTTGAAGTGAAAGTTCAGACATTTAAGGCAGGATGTGTTGGGTTTAACATTCAAGCTGATAAACTCCTCGGTGTATGTAGCACAGCATTTATGTGACTGTTGTAATTATGGAATGGCTTCTGAATCTTGAAAAAAAGAGATTCTGACAGCATCCAATATTATTCTTCAAGTAAAGAGATTCAGGCAGCACCAGATACAGGCACACAAACTTCCTTCATCCCCACAATCCTCTGAAGGACAGGTGATAGCTATCCAAAAATGAATTACATGAATTCCTAACAAAAAGGCTTTTCAGAATCAGAAGTTTGGGAATTAACAGATAACAGATAATCAGAGTTGGAAGGGACCTTATAGGTCATCTAGTCCAACGCCCGCCCACGCGGAAGACCCTACACCATTTCTGACAAAAATGATGGCAGTCCAGTCTCTTTTTGAAAGCTTCCAGTGATGGCGCTCCCACAACTTCTGAAGGCAACTTCTGTTCCATTGGTTGATTGTTCTCACTGTCAGAAAGTTTCTCCTTATTTCCAGGTTGAGCCTCTCCTTGTTCAGTTTCCATCCATTGTTCCTTTGTCTGGATTACAGGCACTTTAGAAAATAGCTTGACCCCCTTTCTCCTCTCTGTGGCAGCCCCTCAAATATTGGAAGACTGCTATCCTGTCTCCCCTTGTCCTTCTCTTTACTAGACTCTTTAATTACCAGTAAGTAAATTGATTGATTTGGTATTTCCTAAAGGCAAGATCAAAGGTTCAGAGTGGATCATTTTCTCTGAAATGCCATTGGGTCTAACACAGAAGAAATAAAAAAATTGAAGTCATATGTTTTCCAGGAGGAGGCAGCAAATCTTTTTTAAGTTCTTTCATTATCTGGACTTCTGCCCTAACCCGACAGCTGATCCTTGTAACAAACTCACTAAGAAGCCAGGAGGAAACTTTACAGGAAGAACTTTATTGCACTATGTTTCAAGTGCTAAACCAGAAATTGTGCCTATTAAGCTCGGCTCACATTGAAGCTCCAGCATTTCTATTCTAGGACAGAATGTGTAGCCCTGTATACCGAACCGCTCCCCCCCCCCCCCCCCCCCCCCCC